TTTTCCATAAGCTCCTCCAATCAAATAGTGGAGGAGCTTGATGCTCTACAGACCCAACCAAGCTTATCAATATTGTTTCCAGAAGCTAACATCAACTTCTTCCATTCTATTCCCTGGATCAGAAGATGGACAAAACACAATGTATCCCTGAATCTTAATAATTAACTAGGAACAAAAATTGGACATTTTTAATACAGGCAAAGATTCATTACATTTCTCAGGCTCTGCCCCCGATTTTATGCTAATTCCAAGTACCATGGCAGCTCTTAAGGTGATGACTCAGGTCTTAAACTTCAGGGAGGAAACAAGAAATAGACATGCGCACAGGGGGTACAATGAAGATCTGGCTCTAGAAAAAGAAATTGAACATCTTCTAAGTCTTAGAAACAAGAATAAAAAAAAAGTATCCTGGCCTTGTGTAACAAGAATGCCTGGCCTTGTGTAACAAGAACACGAAAAATCTATATTCAAAAGACCTGAGCTTCTAGGCCTTAAAGGCAGCATAGAGGGTAAAAAAAAAAAAAAAGCTCAACTTCGAGATTGAGCGCCCTCTGCTGGTCAACAAGAGGAACTTTTGACGCAACAGATCTCTAGCTTTTACCACCTTCATTTTATTCAAGGTATTTCAGAATATTAGCAACTCTACATACATGTTATCTTCTGCCCTAGAATTGTTACTTCTAAGTGTCTGTGTTTCAACAGTCTTTTACAGACTTCATGTTTCTTAAAGTTTCATTAGCAGAAATTTCAAACAAGATTCAACAATATTAAGAAAACTTTTATATTATCAGCCTTTGATTTTTAGCTGTTTAGGGAAAAGGATAATTTCATTATTTTTTATGGTGTTATTATTTCACAAAGTGTATTTCACCAGGTGTATGAGAATTACCTGAAACCAAAACCTGCAGATCTCCAAGTCAAATTCTCATATCAATACTGATTTCATCTCTGAGGTTTGGATCCGACAGTCTGCATTTTTAACAAATACCATAGATGATTTTTCTCAGTAAAGTTTGGGAACAAGTGGTGTAAGTGAATTTTAGCTTCTCTAACAGACATAACATTTTGAAGACTAATTGAAATGGCTAATTCGTGAATTTTTTCTAGTTGAACCCCAGCTAATTTAAACAAAGGAAAAATTGTGAAAAATACAAAAGCACTGCAAAATATAGAAATAATATGTATTTAAACAGACTGCTGTGACATGTAATTGTGAGCTTTGAGTTCTAATTCTAGTTGTGTAATTATGAGAGTTACAAAGACAATTCTGGTTCTTCTGTGCTAGTGACAATCCCCCTTCTTTATCTCCAAAAGAATGCTTTCCTAAATTCTAGACTTCACTGTTTAATTTCCTAATGAACTCTCAGACTGAATGTATCCTATTTCAACATGTTTCAGATCAGTGTCCTCTTATTTCTCCTCTTTCTTATTTATTTATTTTTAAATGTTTATTTTTGAGAGAGAGAGAGAGAGAGAGAGACACAGAGCACAAGCTAGGAGGGGCAGAGAGAGACACACAGAATCAGAAGCAGGATCCAGGCTCTGAGCTGTCAGCACAGCTGAACCCACAAACTGCAAGATCGTGACACGAGCCGAAGTCAGATGCCCAACTGACTGAGCCACCCAGGCGCCCCATCCTCTTTCTTATTTAAAGTAATGGTAATACCATTCACCTCCAAAGGTCAAGCCAGAAAACTGGGTGTCATCCTTAACTCTTTCTCCCTCTACATTCCATCTGTCACTTATCAGTTCTACCTCCTAACAATTTCCAAACCATCTACTTCTTCCTACATTTTCACTCCCATTATCTTTTGCCTAGGTTACTTCCAACAACCTTCCTGACTTTCCTAGTTCCAGTATTAATATTGCTCATATTGGAGTGGGAATGATCTTTCTAAAATAATAACCAGATAATGCTGTTTTCCTGCTCAAAATGCTCCAATGGCTAAAAATCTATAGGACCCAGTCCAAGTATCCAACCATGACCTATACAGTCATCCAGGAACATACCAAAGCCTCTCCCCAGTCTCATCTCTCATTCCTTTCTTCCTGTCCCAAACTACTGTGCATGCCACAATATTATTTTCCTCTTTGCTCCAGACAGTTAATTCTCTCCTCCTTAACTCATTTCCAATTTCTCTGTCCTATCCTTGTATCACATCACCCCACTAAGTTCTTTAAAACTCAGTTCAGGTACATGGTTCCCTAAGTGCTCCAAACCCAAACTACCCTAGGTCTGGACCAGGTACAAGTCCTACTTCAGAAGTACTCTGAATTTCATTCTATCATCACATGCATTCAGCACAATGCAATTACCTCTTTAACTTTCTCACTCACTAGAAGGGAAGGATTTTGTAGCTGTGAATATTTTAACACAGTGTTTGGCACTTAGCTGATACCCATTCAGCATCTGCAGTACAATCATGTGTCTAAGTGTCACTCAATAACATTGTTTATGTGAGTTAACAATGGCTTTAAAATCAAGATGCTGCTGTCATTCTTAACTTTAAGCCAAATAATCTGAGAGACAAATGTTAAAGTCCCTTGATGGCTTGTTCCTAAGCATTACCCAGCCTTCTAACAATTCATCTCACTCACTCATCCCCACCAAGCTGCTCCTGGATCAAATTGCTTAAAAGGTTATTTTTGGTCACTCTTTCAAACAGCAAAAAAGTGCTTCAGCCCACCAAGTAACACAATACACAGGAACAGTATAGACAACCAAATAAACAGTCAACTCTGAAAAGCAGTAACTTTCCTCTTAATACTAGTAATTTTCTTTAACCTTTAATTAAGACACTTACAAAGTCCTCTCAAAAACTATGTCCAAAGATAAGCTTTACCTATTATTTTATGATGAAAACTTCAAACGACTGCCAGTTAACTGTTTTTTTTTTTTTTTTTTTCTTTCAGAACCAGCTTTGATTTTATTCTTGGAGGATTTAAATGTTAAGAAAAGCTAATGGGGTACCTGAGTGGCTTGGTCCATTAAGTGTCCCACTCTGGCTCAGGTTGTGATCTCACAATTTGTGAGTTCAAGCCCCACATCCGGCTCTGTGCTGACTGCTCAGAGCCTGAAGCCTACTTCAGATTCTGTGTCTTCCTCTCTCTCTCTCTCTCTCTGCCCCTCCCCTGCTCACACTCTGTCTGTCTGCCTCTCTCTTAAAAATGAACATTTAAAAAAAAAGAAGAAAAGAAAAGCTACAATATCAGAAAAGGCTGTTGTGCCTCACAGCTAAAGTAAATTTACCAATATATTTAAGTTTTAACAGTAGCTTTACTTAAAACTCTAGTACTTCTAGAGCTGGGGAGCTGCACAGGACTGATGGAAAATGGTATTACAAAATAGAAATTTAAACAGGAAAAATAAAAGAGCACTACAGATGGTAAATATAAAATAACTATTTTTATTTATCAACTCTTTAAAAGACTATGACCAAGTAATAACAATGTACTAGAGTTTAAAACATATGTAGAAGTATAAAGAGCACAAAGGACGGGGGAATTTGTATAATGGAATCACATAGTTAAAAGGTTTTCACATCCTTTTTATAATTTTTTTAATTATTTAAAAAATGTTTATCTTTGAGAGAGAGAGCACAAGTGAGGGAGGGATGTAGAGGGGGTTACAGAGGATCTGAAATGGGCTCTGAGCTGACAGCAGCAAGCCCGACTTGGGTCCGAACCAATGAACTGAGAGACCATGACCTGAGCCAAAGTCAATTGCTCAACCCACTAAGCCACCCAGGTGCACCCCCCTCCCCCCTTTTTAAAGTAGGCTTCATGTGAGTCCAACATGGGGCTTGATCTCATGACCCTGAGATCAAGACCTGGGCTGAGATCAAGAGTTGGACACTTAACCAACTGAGCCACCCAGGTGCCCCAAGATTTTCACATCTTATGTGAAGTGGTATTAATCCAAGGTTGAGTGCAGACAGTTAAGGATACATACTGTACTATTAAAAAAATAAAAGAGTAGTATAGTTAAAAAGCCAACAGAGGATACAGAACATGACACTAAAATACTACATAATTAACTCAAAAGATGACTGGAAAGGAGAAACAAAACAACAGAGGGAACAAATAGAAAATAAATGACAAGATGGTAGACCCATATCCAATCACAGTGAAATTATATTAAATGTAAATGGACTAAACACTCCAAGTAAATTTCCTTAAAAATTTTTCTTTAATTTTTACTTTATTTTCAAGAGCAAGAGAGACAGAGCACAAGCAGGGGAGGGCAGAGAGAGGGAGACACAGAATCCGAAGTAGGCTCCAGGCTCTGAGCTTGTCCTCACAGAGCCCAATGTGGGGCTTGAACTCATGAACTGCGAGATCAAGACCTGAGCCTAAGTCAGATGCTTAACCAACTGAGTCACACAGGTGCCCCTCCAAATACATTTACTGGCTGGGCACAAATCTCAAACTCAATTATATGCTATTCATAAAAGACCGGCTTTAAATCAACACAGAGGGGCACCTGGGTGGCTCAGTCGGTTAAGCATCCAACTTCAGCTCGGGTCACGATCTCATGGTTCGTGGGTTCGAGCCCCGCGTTGGGCTCTGTGCTGACAGCATGGAGCCTGGAGCCCTCTTCGAGTTCTGTGTCTCTCCCTCTCTCTCTGCCCCTTTGCTGCTTGCACTCTCATTCTCTCTCTCTTGCTCTCGAAAATGAATAAACATTAAAAAAAATAATAAAAAATAAAAATAAATCAAGACACAGATAGGCTGGAAATAGAAGGATAGAAAAAGATAAACCATGCAAATATTAAGCATAATAGTATTTGGTATGGCTATAATAATATTAAAGTTAGGCTTTAAGACAATGAATATCAACAGAAATAGAATGGTTTCACAATGACAACAGAGGGAAACCCATCAGACAGACATACTGTGTTTACAACCAATAATAGACCATCAAAAAAAAAAGAAGCAAAAATTGACAAGTAGAAATAGACAAATGCACAACCATAGTTTAAAAAAAAGAGAAAACTTACAAACTTCTTTCAGCAACCAATGGAACAAGCAGTCAAAAAAAAAACAAAAAACAAAAACTAGTAAGGATATAGAAGACTTAATAGACACTTCACTCACCACTAAAGAAAACACATCCTTCTCAAGTGCACAGAGAATATTCCTTAAGATAAACCATATATTAGGACAGATCTCAATAAATTTGACAGGATTGAAATCACAGAATATGTCTTCTAACAGTAATGAAAACACCAAATATTTGGAATTAAACAACACACTTCTAAACAGTCTGTATTTCAAAGAAGATGACAAAAGGGAAATTAGGAAATATATTTGAACTTAACAATAATAAAAACACAACATACTCAACATATCAGATTTTCTGCTTTAGCTTTACTCCCACAAACTAACAGAAATTTATAACATTTAGTGTTTTTATTAGAATAAGAAGTTATACCCAACCTTCACCTCAAGAAGCTGGAAAAAGAAAATATTAAACACCATGGAAGTAGAAGAAAGGGAATAATAGGAGTGGAAATCAGTGAAATAGGAAATGGACAAACATTTTTGGGGAGGAAAAAAAAGCCATAAGTTAATTTTCGGAAAAGCTTGATCAAATGTATGGACCCTTATCTAGACTGATCAGGAAGAAAGACAACACATAAATTATCAATATCAGGAATGAAAGAAAAAATATCACCACAGATATTAAAAGATAACGACAAGATAATTTTATGTGAATGACTTTAACAACCTAGATGAGTACAAAAATTCTTTGAGAAACACAATGTTCAAATATTAATACACATAAAAAGAAAAAAACCTAGTATTGAGATGGCCTTACATAGAAAACTTGAGGCCCGGATGGCTTCATTGGTAAAAGCTATCAAACATTTAAGGAAGAAATACGACCTATCTTAGGCAAACACTTTAAAAAAAAAAAAAGAGGAAGAGCATTGGCATAACTCAAACAAAAACTAATAAGGACATTACAACAAAATGAAATTCTAGAACAATGTCATTTATGAACATAGATCCAAAAAAACTAAACAAAATGAACAGCAAACAGAATCTAGTAACATATATAATTGATTTTATATTATGACCAACTCAGATTATCTCAGGATTTAAAAACAAATATAAATTACCAAATTAAAAGAATAAAGGAGAAAACTCATATGATAATCAGACAAATTCACACATGCCTTGGCAAAATTCAATACGAACCATCATAAAAACTCTTTAGTCAACTAGGAAGAGAAGAATTTCCTCAATGAAAAACCTACAGCCAATATTATACTTAAAGGTTAAATACTGAATGTTTTTTGCCCAAGATCAGAAACAAGGCAAGGATGTCCATTCTTACCATTTCTATTCAACACAGTACTGGGGATGTTAGCTAGTGTTCTAAGGCAAGAAAAAATAAGGGAGAAGCATAAAGACTGAAAAGAAAGAAGTACTCTAAGGGAGCATGGGTGGCTCAGTTGGTTGAGCATCTGACTTCAGCTTAGGTCATGATTCTCCTGGTTTGTGAGTTCAAGCCCCACATTGGACTCTGGTGTTGACAACTCAAAGTCTGGAGCCTGTTTCAAACGGTTTCTGTGTCTCCCTCTCTCTCTCTCTGCCCCTCCCCCTCTCGCACTCTGTCTCTCCTCTCGCAAAAATAAATAAACATTTAAAAATTAAAGAAAAAAAAAGAAAAGAAAGAAGTACTCTACTTTGACTTGTAAACAACGTTGATTGTTTAGCAAATCTTAAGAAATTTATACCAAAAACTATCAGAAAAATTAAGTAAATTTAGCAGATCAGAGGATACAAGATTTGATATATTAGCAACAAACTGGAAAGTATAATTAAAAAATACTATTTTGGGGGTGCCTGGGTGGCTCAGTTGGTTACGTGACCGACTCTTGATTTTGGCTCATGTCATGATCTCATGGTTTGTGAGTTCAAGCCCCGTGCTGGGCTCTATGCCAGTGGCTGGGAGCCTGCCTGGGATTCTCTTCCTCCCCTCTTGCTGCCCCTCCCCCCCAATAAATAAATATAAAAGAAAAATACCACTTTGGGAGGTGCCTGGGTGGCTCAGTCACATAAGGTCTAACTCTTAATTTCAGCTCAGGTCATGAGCTAATGGTTTGTGAGATTGAGCCCTGTGTGGGATCTGCACTGACAGCACAGAGACTGCTTGGGTCTGTCTGTCTCTCTCAAAATAAATAAATAAACTTAAAAAAAAGGGAAAAAAAAACATTTTGGGGTGCCTAGCTGACACAGTTGGAGGAGTGTGCAACTCTTGATCTTAGGGTCGTAAGTTTGAGCCCCAGGCTGGGTGCAGAGATTACTTAAATAAATATCTAAAAAAAATACCATTTCAATAGCATCGAGAAAATATCTATGTATAAACATAATGAAAGACATGAAAGACTTCTAAATAGAAAGCTAAAACACTGCAGGGAGAAATTAAAGATTACAGAAATAAATGGAAGGATATATGACACTCACATGGCCTCAATATCATTAAGATGTAAGTTCTGTAAACTGATCTACAGATTCAATGCCATCCTAATAAATATCTATACATTTTTGTAAGAATGACAGGATGATTCTGAAATTCACATGAAAATGCCAAGGACCCAGACAGAACAGCCAAAAACAACCTTGAAAAGGGACAAAGTTGGAAGGATTTGATTATCTGATTTCAAAATTATTACAGCAAGTAAGAGACTGTGGTATTGGCATAAGTATAGCAAAACAGATCAACAGGATAAAGTATGAATATGCATTTCTACATATACATACAGTTAATTGGTTTTAAATATAAGTCATGATAAATGGAGAAAGTCTTTTCAATAAATGGGATGGAGTAACAAGATATCTATATATAAAAAAATTAGCCTCAACCCCTAACTTCAGATCAGACATAGAAATTAAATTACAAAGATCAAACACTTAAAAAACGTAAGAAGATCAAACACTTAAAATGTAAAATGTAAAGCTACTAGGGAAAAATCTGCGAAGCTATTGGTACACAATTTTTTTTTTAGGATATAGAAAGCAGTAAGTCTAAAAGAAAAATGATAAAAATGATAAATTACACTTTGTCAAAGTTAAGACCTTCTGTTCTTCCAAAAGACACCATCATGGAAATAAAAGTACACTGCTAAGGGAATGTGAAATGGCACAACCATTTAAAAAACTGTTTAGAGTTCCTTATAAAGTTAAACACACATTTATCTTATGATTCAACAGTTGCATTCCTAGTTAACTAAGAGAAATGAAAATTTTATGTCCACAAAATGACTTTTACAAGGATGTTCATAGCAGCTTTATTTGTACCTGCCAAAAGTTAGAAAGAATGCAAGTGTTCAATGAATAAAGAAATTATGGAGCATTTATACAATGGAATACTACTCAGCACTAAAAAGGAATGTTACTACTAATATGTGCAATGTGAGTAAGTCTCAAAAACATAAATGTGGAATGAAAATTTAAAGACAAAAGAGTACATTTATGTATGATTTCCAATTACACAAAGTTCTAAAACAGGCAAGACTATGCTATGGTAACAGAAATTAGATCAGTAACTGAAAAGGAAAAGGCTGGAGGTGGTAATGACTGAATAGGCATGACAGAACTTTCTGTGGCCACAGAAATGTTTTCTATCTTAATTTGGGATGATGGTTATAATCAAAACCAGCATGTTTTATTGTAAATAAATTATATCTCGATCTTAAAACCAAGTGCAAAATTCATCTGAAGTTTTAAAAGTCATTCGTTCCTCAAAACTTCCCCCAAAGGCACATGGTTACTCTTCTCTACTATCTGGTGTGCTCTGGTATAAAAGTTTGACAGGCACTGTGATGTCAGAATTCCATATTCACAAATATTATGACAGGTAAAGAGAATGTAGACAAAGAAATGTTTATTCCAATATTATGTGTAAAGTTGTCTGTAAATAAAGTTACCTAGAAGATCTTTTAACACCCCAGAATACATTCAACTCAGAGATTATAAGTATTATTGAAGTGCTTGAAAATTTAAGTGTTAGCATTTCTCTATGAGGGTGTTATTACAATACTGAGTAAGCTTGACTGGGTGGATGTGTCTTTCATATTACATAATATTTAGTAACACTGGCCCCTTGTCACAATATGCTTGTAGCATAGTCCCAAATCTTGAGTCACTGTGTCAGAATAATACCCCACACATTTCCAATTACTTCATAGGAGTAGGTACTGCCCCCCAGTTGAGAACTGCTTGTCTATAAGCTAATGAGCATATATAAGCAGCATGAAAAATTATCCCACTAATACATGTAATCTACCATCCCATTTTAATTCCAATGCTGATAATTTCACTAATGACTACCTTTACTTACTTAATGTTCAAAAGAAAACAAAAGTGCATAGTTTTATGTGCCCTACTGAAGACTGACTTGGGAGGATAAAGAACGACTGATTTTGTTGAAAACTCTAATTAGGGAAACCAAACACAACCACTGACAACACTATCAACAACACCAAACTACAAGACAATATACTACATACAATACATAGACAAACTACAAGAAATAACATTAGAAACCAAACTACTAACTGGAGTGATAAATCCAGAAGATGACTGATCATGGTCAGAACCCTCCAAGTCCATGAATGTGCAATGGTGGGCTTAGAAAAAAAAAAAAAAAATCAGGATACTTCCAAGGTGTTCTTTGTGGCAGAAAATTAGCAAACATTCTAAGCTAAGTCAGGCAGACATTAACTAATTTGCTTTATGGTTTCAATAGTCAAACGTGCCTTTCATGTATCAATCAAAACACAACATAATCATTTAATGGCAAGAAAGGCTTGTTAGGCTACAAGCATTTTATTGATATATGCAAATTTAAGAATGGACACTGAGAACAAGACTAAAGAATGGAAAAGGACATAAGGCCACCTACATGCCTGTTACTAAGAAGAGAAAGATAAATTAATTGGCACATGGTCCTATAATAAGAGACTGAATTAGTAATTAAAAAAACTTCTTCTAC